AAATTTTCTAAGAGTAGTGATTATCTGCCTATTGTCAATACTTAGGAACCATTAGCTCATAAATTCACAGAATTGAGCACACACAAATTTTGGGGATATGTATATCTGTATGCACCTTACAGCTTCTTTCTAGTACTGTTCTTGATCATATAATTTAATTTGTTGAGTGTCATCCCATGTTGCTAAGCTGTTAGGCAGAGTTATAATTGTAAAATATGCTTGCTTCCCCTGCTCAAATTGTCATCAGCAGTAGATCTTTTGTGTGCTTTGTATATAAATTTATGCTTAGGTATAAGAGAGACAGATCATAGATGTAAAACATGGAATAGGAACAGAGTAGAGCGGGCCCTGAATCTAGGGACTCCTAATTTTTGGCAAACAAAACTTAGAGACTAAAATTCCTCATTAACACACGAAACATAAATTTTAGACGGATACATAACATAGATATAGCAGAAGTGGGGACTGGGGATTTTTTCTTTTCTGGCCTAACAGAACAGACATACTGAAACCTTATGTTATGAACAGAAGATGAGATGCGGATTTATTAAGGAGAAATATCATAAACAGATAAAGCAGAATCTTAGGACTTCTTATGTTTTGGCCAAACAGAACCTTAGATATAGCAGAGCCTCGTGGTTTAACTTGCAATAATTCAGTCCCCTGCTTTAGGAAAGTAGGATCTCCGTACCCTCTTCTTCTGTTTCTGAGAGAAGAACCAATTCATTGAAAAGGTGAATATGTAGCAACCTCAAAAGCTCCAGTTCAGCCTTTTTGTCGTCCATAGCTTCTACTATAGCCGCTGTTTCCTCTCTCATGCTACTGGTTCCGGCCCTTGCCTGTGCTGCTTTTGCTTCCATCCTCTGGAGAGTCTTCTCTTCTTTCCTAAGCTGTTTATCAAATCGCTGTTTCTCTCCTTGGAACAAACTGTAAAGTAGATTTGGAATCAAAAAATGAGTACGAGATTGAGATCTTCGGTTTCTTAGAGAACGAATTCGGAATCAAATTTTAATCAGCGGTATTTCACACCCTGATCCGACCAACCTTTTGCCTGTGAAATGCTTTTGTCTCCGACGGATCAGCTCCACCTCCGCCCTGATTTCCTCCATCTCTGCCCTCAACTTCTTTATACTCTGCCTTATGCTTTTTCTCGAGTCTCTTTCCTGTGAGAAATAGAGAAAAATCCTGCCTGAAATAAGAACAACAGAAGAAAAAGGAACAATTGTGATGGAGGATGGTTTTGAAAAGTACCTGGCACTTCTTAGTACGGGCCCTTTTCGAATTCTGTTTAGCCGCCATGACAGTATTTTGTACAAAGATATTTGGTTTCTTCTCTTTTGATTATTTTTGGAAATATTTTGTTTTGCCTGTGTTATGAGGGCTCAGCTGATGTTCTTATAAAGAGTACATCAGAACACACGGGCTGCTGTCTATGTAAAGGATCAGAAATTTTAGGGAGACAGATCCAATTCGAGGCAGTTGTGAAACTGATCGGGTCGGTGAAAAAGTGAGGAGGTGGGGACCAAAAGTGCTGCCATTTGCTTGATACTTTAGTAGAAAGGACGGTAGTCCGGCCGGCTGACAATTGTGAAAGCGTAAAAATGTCATAAGTTGCTGGCAGTTTCCTTAACAGGATTTTACTAAAATTCGTTTAATATATCAAAATTTGATTCTAGTTACTTATTGCTTATAGTGATTAAATTTGTTTAAAATTTTGATTAAAAATTTTCATATTTCACTAATTTTACTCAAGAAATCAATTTTTATCCTAATTTTAGCCTGGTTATGAATGCAGTGACATTTACTTTTTAATAATTTCTTTTATGATTGAGTTACACTACCCGTATATTGATAAAATATTTATCATGTGGACTTGATATAATTAACTTAATGTTTGTTAAGTAAATCTACCATATAAAAAGTACAAAAGGGTAATAATAAAAATGTTAGTGTATTAAAAATATCATAACATCTAATTTTAACTATGTAATAGATTAAATTTAAGTAAAATTTACATTATTTTTCACCTATCCTTAGCTGTCATTCTACGTTTTAATTTTTTTTTTGCATCAAAATATTATATTTTTCTGTAGCCTCTAATTAAAATGTATTGTATACATTACTAATGTTAAAAGAAAAATAAAATAATGATAGCATAGGCAACTATTGGTATTACTAATATTCTTATAAAACAAATAAGTAGAGCCTTATAAAACATGAGGTAAGACAAGCGAACGGATAAAAAGAGATAATGAAAAATAAAATTAAAAAGAAAATAAAATTAATATTTCTTCTTACCATACGTCTAGGTTAAGAGGAAGAATAAAAAAGAGAGGGAGAGAAAAGAATTTTCATTATTTGATTTTCAAAATAATTAGAGGGGAGGGGAATGGAGAGATACAATTTCCCTCTTCTCTATTCCCTTTAATCTAAACCTATAGTTGAAAAAATGTGCCATATGTTATATATTAGTTATTAATCAAGTAATGTAATAAAAATTAAAAAATATATTCAATAGTTTATATTGCATTAAATTATACA